TTCCAGGGAGTCTTGTCATGCCTCAAACTCCTTCCTCTTCCTCGCCCTCTTGTCTTGTAAGCTGCTGGATCCTAGGCATTGGCAGGCATGCCCAGCATGTTTCACGATCAACTGAGGTGTGGATCCAACTATGGTTGCCATATGGGATCCAGCTGCTCTTGAGCAACCCCTTCCTGCTGCACCAGGGAGCCAACCCATTCCACTTGTTTACAAAGGGCATCATCATCCACCCAGTTGTACAACATAGGCATCAAGGAGATATTTTTCATCTTATAGACAAAAAAATAGTTTATTTCTCATATGGAAAAGTGATGAAATCTCATTATTCCATTTCTCTGCTTAAAAATACCAAGAAATCTCCCCATCTACAGGATTAAATCTCTATGTAGCGGAATGAGAAAGTTCTTAATAATCAATCTCCTCGTCCAGCTTTGTATAATTTCCACACATGAATAAACTGTGGTAACTCTTACTCTTAATTTGGTCTATGGCCACTGAAACCAAAGTGCTTCCAAATGTCTGTAAAGACTAACTACAACAACACAAATAACTACAAGATTCAAAATTTGTATTTGTTTTTCAATAGAAAAAAAAATGACCTGTAGGCAAAAAGTACAATTATAACACAACTTGGTAATTGGAGATAGTTGCCCAACAGTAATTTATTTCAACATATTAAAAGCTTATAGGGATTTGGCCATTAAACAACCCTTTTCCTGATTCTAAATGACAACTTCCCATCTGGTATATCAGTTCCATTTTCTTCTTGTCTAGATTTATATGCTTTAAATCAATACTCTCTAAATATGCTACCATAGATTCCTAAAATACATATATATGAATATACTATCCTCTTACTAACAAACCTCAATAAAATTCAGAAATTGCAAAGAGCAGAAATGTTTGAGCTATCTCTACTCATAAACTGTAGTGAATTAAAAGTGGGAATTATATTGATACAGAGTTTTTCCCCTAGGAAAATAATGATTTGCAGAACCATTTAAAGGCATTTAGCAAGGTATAAATATTTCTCTTCACTCTTCAGGTTATATGAAAAGCATGATTTAATTTATAAAATGATATGAAACAAGAAAACAAAAGCTCTATATTTTATGCACTGACCTAGAGTAATGCTCAATAGGAAAAAGGCCAACTCAGCTGTTTAGAATCTCCTGGCACATTAAACACAGAGGTGGCTATTCTAGATGCCATAGGCATTTCCATAGCAATAAGTTGATGCTTTGAAGACTAAACACGATTCTTGGATCCCTGAGGCCAATCAAAGTTATAGCTGACATGTTTTAAAAATAATCAGGGTGTCTGAGAATGTCTATCTTGTAAAACAAACTGGAACTATAAGACTGCATCTACTATATAATGCCTGAATATTTAGTGTGTTTCTATGTTATTCTTTCCTATCTTTACTTTTTCTCCCCCTATCTTGTTAAGATTTTCTATTGATGAATTTGGTATTTTATTGCAATATGGATCCTTAATCTATTTTTGTTAGGAATTATTTCCTATATTATTATTTCCTAATTATTAAGAATGCAGAATTGTGTTGAGTGTAAATATTAACATTGTATTCCAATACCCAACTATGTCAAAGTTTAAAGTTTTCTTTGTTTTAAACATTTTTCTCTCTAAAGAAATGAAAAAAATATTGAAAAAGTGGTAGCTTCCTCTCTCCTCATCTTCTCCCTTGTTTATTGAGAAAAACATATTTTACATTCAGTGCTTCTCCAGAAGTTATTTTTATATGCTTACTATTTATGTATAAATGTATGTATCTACAAGCAGTATCATTTGATTCTTTAAACTTGATATACCCAGTAGAATTCTACTTGCATTCTCATACTCCTTTGTTTTTATTCTTTTAACATTGTGTCTCTGAGATTTTTCTGTTGGTATATTGCAGCCTTTTTTCTTTTTTCCATTTAAATTTCTTTATCTATTTAGTGACTACAGCTTTTGTACTTCCCCTTTCTTAAACATTCAGCTGCTCTCTTATTTCTATTATACTTAGTCCTGAAATACATATTTTCAGGCATTTATTATAGTCTATATTGACAGGGTATATATAGCTATGAAAAGCTGGTTCCTAGGATATGTGCATTTCTAACTTCATTGGATGTGCTAATCGTTCTCTGAGGTGTGTGTCCATAGAAATCTACAAACAGAATAAAAGTATATGAGCTTCTGAAATAAAATTACAAAGGTATTGAGAACTTTATCTTCCTGAGCAAGAGTTTTTTTTTGATTAGTAAACCATGTTAATGCAGACAGCAAGTTATAATGCTTTTGATCTTCAAATGTTACACTCTTATTTCTTCTATCTTGCAAATTACTTGATTTTCTATATTTGAACAAATGTCCCTGGAATTTTCTTAACTAATAATCTTGTATTGAATTATATAACAGATTAGGCATGATGTATATGAGCTTCTGAAATAAAATTACAAAGGTATTGAGAACTTTATCTTCCTGAGCAAGAGTTTTTTTTTTTTTGATTAGTACACCATGTTAATGCAGACAGCAAGTTATAATGCTTTTGATCTTCAAATGTTACACTCTTATTTCTTCTATCTTGCAAATTACTTGATTTTCTATATTTGAACAAATGTCCCTGGAATTTTCTTAACTAATAATCTTGTATTGAATTATATAACAGATTAGGCATGATCTAGGACCTAACATTGTTGTTATGGTCTGAATATGTGTGTGCCTGCTGTACCAGGGAGCCGGGAACACAATGTGAGACAGCCCGAATTCATATTTAAATCCTAATCCCCAAAGTGATGGTATTAGGAAATGGAAGTTGATTGAGTCATGAAGGTAGAGGTTACAATGAGTGAGACCTTGTCCTTATAAAAGTGACCCAGGACCAGCCTGTGGTACGGTAGTTACAATGGCTGGATCCCGCATGGCCAACTTGAGAGTTTTAATCCCGGACCTGGAGGCTTGACAAGCTTGTGGGACAAGTACATGTGTGCCCAAAATCCTTAATGGAGAGATAAATGAGGAAGGGACTGTGGCGTGACCATTCTCTTGGTTTCTCTCTCTCTCTCTCTTTATTTATCTTTCTCTCTCAATGAGTACACATGTCTTTCGGGAAAAAAATAAATAAAATAAATTAACAGATGTGCAGAGAAGTTCATTATCCCCTTCCACCATATGAGGACACACAGAGAGGGCCATGCCATCTATAAACCAGTTAAGGACTCTTGGCAGACATAGAATCTGCTGGTGTCTTGATGTTGAACTTTTCTGCCTCCAGAACTGAGTGAAATAAATTTGTGCAGTTTATGTGTTACCCAGTTTATGGTATTTTTGTTATAGCAGCCCAAACAAACTGGACAAGTGCCTTATATAAAATTACTTGTTCTTTTGAAGATTATTCATGACTGTAAACTTAAATTTGAAGCTTGCCACAGCAATCAGAAATCTTGGACATTTTTCAACATGTATCTGTATACATTGAGCAATACGTCCCCAGAGATACTATGCTGTCTATTTGCAAACATAAAATAGGCTTCATATGTATAGCAAATGGGTAAAAAATAAAATGCTCTATAAAAGAAATGAAAGAAGTATGCTTCTTAAGCAAAAATAAAAGCAAAACCTTCAGGTCACTCTTTCAACAAATGGTTATATATATATATATGTTGTGTATATATATATATATATATACACAACATATATATGAAAGAGAGAGAATCTTCTTAATATATAGGTAGATGTTTTTAAATTTCACTTAATGAATAACAATTGATACCTTAAAAGAAGCAGTTACTTATAACAAAGTGGATCTTAGCCTGCCAAAAACACAATTAAATCACAATAAAGCTTAGCTATATATCATTATATCAAATGGTGAAAGATATTTGTTTTTTTCTTCCATAATTAAAATTATGCATTCTTACAGTGCAAAAAAATTCTATAGAAATTTTTCAGAAAATATTTTTCTTTGTTATTTTATTAGTTTAATTCCATATATAAAATTTGTTTACTATATTTGTGGTTTAAAAACAAAATTAGCACACAAAGCAATACTCTGTTTATAATCATACAACACCGATGTTTGCATTTTATTATAATACAACCAAAATATACATTTAACATTTGTTCAATTATTTTATACTACAAGACTACATTTCTTTTAAGATAGTAAAATCAAAAATCCAAAATTAACTACTACTCACTCACGATACCAGAATTAAATTATATGATTAACTATGGCTTCTGAAAGATGTTTGCCATTTTCTCCAAAAAATTGTCTCTTTCAAACTTTCCATAAATACTTTATATTATAAAATATTCAAATGAGAGGTATAAGTCACATGTCTATTGATGTATTTGCACTCTTAATGTGCAGAATCCAGCAATTTTAGATAATTTTTGTTAACCCCACATGTAAGCTTAATTGTTTAACTATTATGGTCTTTATTGTGAGAAAAAATGTTTCCATAAAAGCGTTTCAAATATCTTTTTTTTCTAAACTACCCATTCCCAGTAAGACTAATCAATCCAACTTGAGGTCTACTAGTAGTCTAAGACAAATGAGACATTCTAAAGAGGTGATGTCAGAGTTGATTTACATTTGTGTTTATGATATATATATATAAAACTATGACTTATATTTTGGTTTAAAAAACAGTGTTTAATAAATGCTTTTGTTTAATTTTATTATTTTATGGAAATCTGAATGGTCCAAGTTGTTTCTGGAAATCGCTTTTGATAATATTGAAAAACAAGCACTGAATTTTGTTAACTTGTTTTTTAGCTTAGTCTATATATTTCA